TTTTATCTATATCCCGACATCTTTCCCCTTCCTTCCATTGTTGACCACTCTAGGTTTAATATAACTTTTCTCCTTGAGTTCTTGCAGTATAGTTGGGATGTGATTTGGAGGTTTGTTGTTTGAGACAGGGGCTCATTTTATTGCCCAGACTGACCACGAACACCTGGGTGTTCCTCCTGTAATCCTCCTGTTCCTCCAAGTAATCCTCCTGTCTCTCAGCCCTGAGCAGCTGAGACCATAGGTATGCCCTACCGTGCGCAGGTATAGGAATGTATCTTAATTCATAAAAGTGGCGGTCTTTTTAGACTTGAAACCACCTCTGTAATGTCAGTTCTGGCCAGAGATGTTGAAAACACACCAATCAGCTACAACATTTTGCTTTGAAATACTCTAAATTTGGACAGGTAGTCAATATACTGCTCTTAACCCAGGGGATACTTCTAGGTGGTCCAAAATGTAAGGTTGGTACAATGTTTTCATTTTGTTTTGTTCTCTCTCTCTCTCTCAAGATGCATTTGTAATAAAAGTTTAAAGAATGATGAAAAGTGAAAGACAGTAACATAAAATGTTCAGTGATGAAGCTTTGGGTTGGATGATGTCCAGGCTGGGCTGCTAACCTAGCTCACAGTCATGAAGTAGGTAGTTTAAAGCATCTCTTTGGACAAGTTCGAGGAAGAGGCCTTAATAGTATTTGCAGAGACCCTTATCCCCGGGCCAAAGACCACTACATGCAATTCATAGCTTTGTATTTCTAAGGAAGTAAGGACAAGCGCATAGCTCTCCAGAGTGCTTTCCTTCTTACATTTCTTAATTTCTCTTTCTGAGCCTTTGCATGACCCTGATAGAAAAATGGGCAGTGTTCTGATTTTCATGCCTTTAATTTTTCTGATTCACTGTTTTTATCCAACATTCCTGATAAGGTGTGGCTTAATAGGATTCTCTGCCATTGCAAATAAAGCTTCTTTTGCTGTTAAATCCAGAAAGAGATTTACCTTCCCTGTCTTTTATCATTAGACACCAATAGTGCAACCCATTTCCACATCAGTGCAGTGCCCTAAATCTCCAGATGTTAATGGCCAGAAGTGGGGCTCTTGTCACCTTTGAGAACTGTAACTTTGGGGCAACTAGTCTGCTGGACCCTGCTTTTACAAATAAGTAAGAACTGCCAAGTGTAGCAATTACTATTATTACCGCTATATATAGTAATAGTAAGCATTGATTTGGGGAAAAATTATTCTTAGAGGCTAAATTCATTAGGTGAAATTAGGCATGGTGGTACACACCTTTAATCCCAGAACTCAGGAGGATGAGGCAGGAAGGTTACCAAGGCCAGTTTGGGCTACATAGCAAGTTGGAGGTCAGCCTAGAATACATAGCAGGACCCTGTCAAGGAAGGAAGGAAGGGAAGAGAAAAGAAGGGAAGGAAGGGAGGAAAAGAGAAAGTTAGTGGGTGAACAAGATATTCTCAGATTACCTCCTGTCAGATTATAGATTAATTAAAAAGGGGGAAGAGGTGCCTTTACTGTAGTAGTCTTTTCTTATCCAAGTGGTGAAAGTTAACATTACTCCTCCCCTCCAAAAAAAGACCGATGTCATGTGCCTCCTAATATACCAAGGAAGATACCCCACACCATCCCCAAAAGGATAACCTGGATCTAATTATAAGTGAATAATCAAACAAAACCCCAGTTGGGGACCATTTATAAAACAACTGGCTTACACATTCCCAGAATATTCAGGTCAAAAAAGAAAAGTAAAGCTAAGGAGTGGTTCTAAGTTCATGGAAACTAGAGACATGCCAGCCAAATGGCAAGTGAGATCCATTACATCACTGAAGAACAATCTGAGTACCGTTCATTCTCTTCAAAGAGAGGGCTGTGATTAAACTCCTCCTTGTTTGTGTTAACATACAGGTTGAGAAAGTAAGTGTGGGAAAATATTAACAGTGGGTAAGTCAGTGTCTGGGGATGTAGCTCAGTGGTTAGAATAGCTCCCTAGCATGGGCAAAGCTATAGGCTCAATCCACAGCACCCCAACAAGCAGAAAAGAGTAAGTATAGGTGAAGGGTACATGTATGTATGGTTATCATACTATTCTGGCAACTCTTGTATGGGACTGATAAACTTCAAGCTAAGAACTCTGGGCCAAGCATGGCGGCACATGCCAATAATCCGAGCACTTGGGAAGCTGAGGTAAGAGGATCTCAAGTTCAAGGCCAACCTGGACTGCATAGTGAGACCTTGTCTCAACAAAACCAAAAAAGAAAAAAATTAAAATGTTAAGAGTAGGTGTAGGGGCTGGGGATTTAGCTCAGCGGCAAAAGCGCCTGCGTGGCAAGCGCAAGGTCGTGAGTTCGGTTCCTGGTACCGGAAAAAAAAAAAAAAAAAAAAAAAAAAGAGTAGGTGTGGTAGTGCACAGCTATAATCCAACCTCCTCTGGAGGCTGAGGCAGAAGGGTGGCCAATTTGAGGCCACCATGCAAAAACCCTGTCTCAGAATAAAAATTTTAAAAAGGACTGGGTGTGTCACTCAGTGGTATAGCCCTTACCCAGCTTGTGTGAGGCTCCCTGGGTTCAGTCTCCAGTACCCCCCAAAACCAACAAACAAAAAGTCCAAACAAACAAAAACGCTGGAAGTAACTCTACAGAGGAACAGAAACCTCGGCCTTCTTCAGCTCAACGCTGTTTGCTGTCCCCCTCCTAACCAGAGCTTGTGCCTTTTCAGGTATCGGATTTGGAGGGACACTGCCAACTGGTTGGAGATTAATCCGGACACTGGTGCCATTTCCACTCGGGCTGAGCTGGACAGAGAGGCCTTTGAGCATGTGAAGAACAGCACGTACACAGCCCTCATCATCGCCATTGACAACGGTAGGGACACCTGTGTGGCCTGGGCTGCCTCGGCCTCCTGCCCGGCTTGGCTCCTTTGCCCCTGTCCTACTAGAGACCTGAGTTCAGTCTTTTTTTTTTTTTTTTTTTTTAATGTTTAAACAAATGTATACTCCGTGTTCAACATCTCAGTGCCCAGAATAATTTGGGTCAAGTTGAAATTCTTTTTCACCTGTGGTTGTCTACACCTGAGCCCTGCTCTTTCCCTACAGGAACCTGGGTTTCTGTCCCAGGTCCACGGCTTAATATCTGTTTGACCTTGGGCTTGCTACTTAATTTTTATGTCCATCATTTCCTTTATCTGATAAAATGATAATGCAAACTGGATTAAAGGAATTAATTTATGCAAATATACCTAGAATAGTCTCTACCACATGCAGTATAAGGGCTGTCCTTTTTGTCACCATCAATTCTGAATCCTTCCAGGCTTTCTGTATATTTGAATACATTTGGATAGCTATAGAAATATGTTCATCCATAGATGAATGGATAAAGGAAATGTGCTCTTTATACCCAGTGGAGTACTATTCTGTTATAAAGGCTAAACTGGGTGTGGTGGCTCATGCCTGTAATCCCAGCATTCAGGAGGCTGAGGCAGGAGGATTGTTGCGAGTTCAAGACCAGCCTGGGCTACAAAGTGAGCTCAAGGCCAGCCTGCACTGCATAATGAGACCCTGTCTCAAAAAAAAAAAAAAAGAAGAAATAAATAATGGCTAAATGAGTCATTTATAGGAAAATGGATGTACCTTGTTAGGTGACATAAATCAGGTCCACAAGCTGAAATATTGCATGGTTTCTCTTATATGAGAAATCCAAAGTATGAATAAGTTGTAGAGCAAAATAAAAGGTAATAGAAAATGGGGTGATAGATCTGTTGCAAATGGGAAGGGGACCAAGAGGTGGAGGGAAGGGAAGAAGAATTTTAAAAAAAAATTTAATATGTGTCATGTACATGTACCAAGTCCCCAAGATGAAGGTAATTATTGCATACTACAAATATGTAGTAACAAAAATTTAAAAGTGTTTTAAAGGAATATAATTTATTATATTAGTTTGTAATATTTTTATTTGGTTTAATCAACAACATTCTACATAATGTATAATGTTTTAGTTTTGAGGCTGGGAGTATACCTTAGTGATAGTGTTTGCTTAACATATATAATGCCGGGGGCTGGGGATTTAGCTCAGCGGCAAAGCACCTGCCTGGCAAGCGCAAGGTCGTGAGTTCGGTTCCCAGTACCGGAGAAAAACAAAAAAAAAAAAAAAAAAGAAAAACAAAAAAACATATATAATGCCCTGGGTTTAATTTCTAACACTGTAAAAATAAAATTAAATAAATTTTAAGAAATATAATTCCCCCCAGTCCTATGGATCCAACTTATGAGCTCTACCCTTGATCTACATCCCTAGCCCTTTTTATTTTATATTTTGCAACCCAGCTTTCGTAAGTTGCCCTGGTAGAACTTGAACTTGTGATCCAACCACCTTGTCTTCCCTCAGTACTGGGATTACAGGTATGCACCACCATGCCCAGCAAAAAAAAAAAAAAAAAAATTATTTGACATTATGTCTTTATGACAGAGATTGGGGCTGGAGATATATAGCTCAGTGGTAGAGCACTTGCCTAAGCATGCATATGCATGAGGCCCTGAGTTTGATTCCCAGCAGTAACACCACCACCACCTCCCTGGGGCATACAGATCACCACTGCACATTATCAACCTATCTCTTTTTAATAATGATGTTGTCTGCTTACAGCATGATTTAATCACTCACCTATTCCAATGAGTGCCAAGTGCATGCCTCTTTTCACAAGAATTTCCCTGATGCTGGACATGGTGGCACATGCCTATAATCCCAGCACTCAGGAGGCTGGGGCAGGAGGATTACTGAGTTCGAGGCCAGCCTAGGCTACATAGTGAGTTCAAAGCCAACCTGGACTACAGAGCAAGACCCTGTCTCAAAAAAAAGAGAAAAGCATTTCCCTTAACAAATGTTTGGAAGTAGAATGACTTTATTTTCTTTTTTTCTTTTTGGTTTTTTGAGACAGAGTCTTGATATGTAGTTCAGACTGGCCTTGAATTCACTATATAGTCCAAGGCTGGCCTTAAACTTGCGGCCGTCCTCCTTTCTCAGCCTCCTGAGTTCTGGGACTACAGGGAAAATTACCTTCTTTTCCTTCCCTTTTTGGTGCAGAGGATTGAACCTAGGGCCTTGTACGTGCTAGGCAAGTGCTACTCTACCGCAGAACCACACTCCCGGACCTTGCATACCTTTTCATAGATCGTCTAAGGAGAGTGAAATTTCTTCAGAAAATCTATTAGCTCATTAAAAAAAAAAGTGTATGTGTGTGTGTAAAGCTAATTTTAAATGACATACTCTGCAAGGCCCTAGGTTCAAACCCCAGCATTGCGTGTGTGCACACACGCACACACACGTACACACACACAAGACATGCACATTTGTTAAAAGCCACATGATCAAAGAAAAGTTTAAAGAAGTGACAGCTTATACCATTCTGGCATAAGTATTTTCAGGTTTAAGGAGTCTCTCTGTTGTTGTTGCTTCCCTATCACACACTAATATTGATCATGGTTTCTCGAGTGCTCCATCTTGTCTGCCTCCATGTGCTGGCTGCTGTCAGGATTTCAAAGAAGTGTGGGGTGGAACAGGGTCTGGGGCGGGTTCCCTGATGAGCTAGGACGAGATTTGGTCCGCTGGGAGCTAAGGAGATGTCGTTCACGTTCCTGCGCTGTGACACTTCCTCTGTGTTTTCTGTCAGGTTCTCCAATTGCCACTGGAACGGGAACCCTCCTCTTGTTCCTCTCCGACGTGAATGACAACGCCCCTATCCCAGAGCCCCGAAACATGCACTTCTGCCAGAGGGATCCGCAGCCTCACACCATACACATCATCGATCCAGATCTGCCCCCCAACACCTCCCCCTTCACGGCCGAGCTCACACACGGGGCGAGTGTCAACTGGACCATCGAGTACAGTGATGCCAGTGAGCCTTCAGCTTTATTTCAGGATCTTGCCTCTGCCTGCTGTGCCTCTCCTTCTGCTGATCCCACTTCTGAAGTTTCCTTCCAACTCCAGATGCCGCCCCTGCCCTTCCGTATTTGTTCCTCACTCCTTTCATGGTTGGGGTAGTGCAGCAAAGGGCCCTCTCCTTTCCTGGTGTTCAGCTGTAGGACATACTGCCTACCAGTCTAAACCTCATGCCAGCTCTCGTCACTCCTCTCAGCTTTGGGAAGTCTTTAGTTTCCTCACAGTTTTAGTGGAGGATGAGCTTCTCTTTGCCCCTCTCTTGGTTTCATTATTTGTTTTGCTTTTCTTAGCCCAAGAGTCTCTCATCTTGAAGCCCAAGAAAACCATGGAGGTGGGTGACTACAAAATCAATCTCAAGCTCATTGATAACCAGAACAAAGACCAGGTGACCACTCTGGATGTCGGCGTGTGTGACTGTGAAGGGACTGTCAGCAATTGTGTGAGGGCAAATTACGCGGAGGCGGGGCTGCAGGTTCCTGCCATCCTGGGGATTCTCGGAGGAATCCTTGCTTTGCTAAGTAAGTATAAGCGGCAGCTGTTTCAGCTTGGACTTCTAAGGTGGGGAGCTTTACTTCCTCAGTGACTTTTAGTTAGGGTATAAGTTAAATAGAAACGAGAGACTCTTTCCTGCTGAACATTTGAGAGGTATATAGTCCAAGACTGGAAGGTGCCATCACCTTGCTTCTCAGTGAGGTGGGAATTTTGATCCAGAGGTCTGACAAGGGATTTCAGATTCTGTGTTTTTAACTAACTTCCAAGTTATGTTAATGTTGTGGGTCCTTGGCCCACTCATGGAATACTGTCCTCATCAGCACAGTCAAAGCTAGCCACATCCCACCGAGTGTGGTGGCACATCCTGTAATCCCAGCACTCGGGAGGCTGAGACAGGAGGATTGCAACAAGTTTGAGTCCGGCCTGGGCTACAAAGTGAGCTCAAGGCCAGCTTGAGCTGCATAGTAAGACCTGGTCTTAAAAAGAAAAAAAAAAAAAAAGACTGGAAAAAAAAAAAAGCTAGCCACATCCAACCAGGGATGGCATTACACACCTCTAATCCCAACACTCAGGAGGCTGAGGCAGGAGTTCACCATGAATTTGAGGCCAACCTGGGCCTAGATAGTGAGTTCAAGACCAGCCTGAACTACATAGAATTACCCCATCTCAAACAAACAAACAAACAAAAAAAGCTAGCAACATCCCATTGGCCCAAATATGGCCACACTGAGCTTTAAGGGAGTCTGGACACTCCCAGTCCTCCCTGGGTGACCACCCTCCCAATGAAAGTTTGGTAGGCAGTAGGAATGGAGTGTGTTGTGAGCAGTGTCAGCAACTGAAAGGATAAAGAAGAAAAGGGCCCCAGGGGAAGAAATAGCAGTTTCTGCCGTGCTCCCAAACTGATGTCTCCGGAGCCTGCCTGTAGCGTGAGCCCCAAGGTTGATGCAGATGCTGTTACAATTTCTAAAAGCGAGCGATGGCAAGTCAACTAGAAATCCTTGCAGATGCCTCCCTATCTAATGAGAGACCCACAGGGTTGGGTCACACATGCGGTCAGGGGAGGGCCGAGACTGAGTCTCGTGGACGATGTAGGTGGTAGCGCCATAGGGGCTGGTAGAACTGCTTTGGCAGAAGAGCATTTGGAAGCGTTCCCACGCAGCGAAGGCACAGAGAGAAGCCTGCGTGGATTCTGTGTATGGCAGAAAGAAGGCCGACAGGAGTGCAAGATGAGTGTTGGAGGGAGCACTGGGGACAACTCTGGGCCTTGAGTTTAGTTTGAGCACAGGTGCTACTGACCCGCAAGTCCGCGCCAGTAGACTGGAGGCATATCTTCCAGCCCTCAGAACGGTTTTCTGGGTGTCCCGTTTCCTTCTTCTTTCTGCTAGGGTCCTTGAAAAGTTGAAGAGGAAGAAGATACTATTGAGAATTCAGCGAGCTTACTGGATTTTTATTCTTCGGGTTTATATAACTTTATTGCCATGGTGTTAGATTAATTTACCATGTCTGTCATCATTTTGGATGTAGTGACACTAAGCTCTCCCTGCCCTCATTCTGGTCAAATTATGTTTGAGTGGGCTGGCCTGTTTGCTTGCTTGCTTGTTTGCTTGCTTGCTTGCTTGCTTTGAGACAGGGTGTTATTTTGTAGCTCAAATTGGCCCTGAACTCACTATGTAGCCCAGGCTGGCCTCAAGTTCATGGTGATCCTCCTACCTCAGACTCCTGGGCGCTGGGATTACAGGCATGTTCTGCCATGCCCAGCTCTGGTCTGCGTTTGAGATAGTGGATACTAACACTTTCCCAGGACTCTGAGGATCATCTTGGAAATTACAGTTATACTTAAAGGAAATGTTTTAAGATAGAATTACCTAATTTTGCTATAAGTGTATTTCATTAAACATGGTGGTCATGGTTTGGGAGGATGTAAATGAAATTTAAAGCAGAAATAGTGCCAAAATTCAGGTGTCCAACTTCTTGTTGCTTAAGGGCAAAAATGTGCTAGAGAAACACTGGGAGAGCTGTAGCTTTTTATGTTTTTCAATGATATTTGCTTGCTGATTCCTGCCTTGTGCCTGGCTTTGTGTCAGGTCCTCGGGGTACTGGGTTTTTGGTAACTCCCTTTGGAAGCGTCCCTTTATAAACCATAACTTTGCTATGGCTCTAAGTCAGATATTTGTGTTTATGCTGTCTTGTTCGGTGCCATATTCCCCGGACACAGACAGGCCATGGACAATGGCACAGTAGCTCCTGCCCAGTGTGTCTGTCAGTGAATCATGATCAGGGCCGGGGATGTAGCCCAGCGGTATGGCGTGTGCCTGGCAAGTGTGAGATCCTGAGTTCGATTCCCGGTTCCAAAAAAAAAAACCAGTCATGAACAAGAAATTGTATTATTTCTCTGGATAAGGTCTCCAGCTTCTTTCTGATTTAGAAACAACAATAGGCTGAATACCTCTAAGAAGTCTGCCCAAGTTTACACCACTTGGGCAAATGTACCTATTAAAAAAAAAAAAAAAATACACAGAATCCCATTTTTGTTCATTCCCAATGAATAATATTCATTTTTAAGTTAAGTATATGTCAAGATAATCTGAAGAGTTTAAAGCTTGCTTACACAATTTTATGTGAAGACAGGGAGTGTATCAGGTGATACCCTGATGGGAGGGTATCACCTCCCATAACTGATAAATGGTAATAGGCAGGCATCAGTCACATTTAGGCTGAGCCAGCAGCCCTGCTAATAAACCTCCCACGGCCTCATCTCACTCCAAGTCAAAGCTAAAGTCCTTACAGTGGCCTACATGCTCTTCCCATCCACAGCTCCTTCCTGCTTCATTCGCCTCTCCTCAATCATACTAGGCATGCTCCTGCACCCAGGGTCTTTTCCCCTACTCTTTCCCCAACCTGGAATGCTTTGTTCTAGATTTTGGGAAATGACGATTGGTTTGGGGAGGAGGGGTTGGTGGGGTTTTTTTGGGGGGGTGGTTTCAGACAGGTTCTCACTATGTAGCTCAGATTGGTCTTGAACTCTTGATCATCCTGCCTCAGCCTCCCAAGTACCGGGATTATAGGTGTGCGCCACCATACCCAGCTCAACAATGATTAATTTTAAGATTGATCTGAAATTTATTTGAAGGCCTCACTTGCATTCATGTGTCATTGTCTGCTATGTTTCACTACATATATTAACTTCAGGGAGGTGACTG